ACTAGACTTGTTTAGCACGGGGAGGCGTCTTCGTCAAGGCTGGCGACTTGCACCTCGAGGACCTTGAGGCAAAGACATGCCGTGCTTCCGACGGCACGGGCGGGGGTCTGTGGGTTGGCGCTGGGAGCGTTCATTTGTCTAACGCCTCATTCGCAAATTGCTCGGCGTCAAACAGCCGTGCTCTTCGCGCGAATGGGACAGTCAATGTTCTGTCCCTTGTACAGCTTGGACAGCCGGAAGATACGGCGGCCAGCTTCTTTGTGACGAATGAGAAGAAGGACTGCCTTCAGGTTCAGGCCTTGACATGCCCCAAAGGCTCCGGAGAACGACGCGACGGCGATGCCATCGGTTGCTACATTTGCCAGCCCGGTTTCACCCGTCTAACCAGCGATGACAACGACCCATGCGTGGAGTGCCCCGCCGAGCCGACCCGCAGCTGCACTTCCACACGCCTTGAGCTGCAAGCTGGTTTCATGGTCCGGGTCTCAGCCGAAGCCATCTTCGGAAAACGTACACAGCAAATTCCAATAAAATTGACCAGGTCACCATCACCGACCCAAAGAACCTGTCGAATTGGTACAGGTGCCCCAATTCAAAAGCCTGCCCAGGCGCGGTGAGTTGCCTGTGTATTGTCGCCTGGCAACATGTCACAGCATGTCACAGCACCCGGGGCCTGCTCAGCAAACTTAATTTTCCTTACATTCCCTCATTTGAGAAAAGTCTCTGGCTGTCCTCAAGGAGGCATCGTAGCCGCTGCGGTCCGCGCTGGACTTGGCCCGCGTATTCTCCAACCTATGTGCCTGCAAGGGTTCACTGGCCAAGGGCCCCTTGGCCCGTGATGAGGCAGAGTTCACGTGCTCCGCGGATTGTGTCAAAGTACTGTGTTCGTGTAGCACAAGTGTTTTGGGCCTTGAGCTCGTGTGTGGAATGGTTGTGCGGTTTGATTCAGGATCGGCTGGCGGCTGAGGTCTTCGTGGAACAGGGCCCTCCGCACAGGCGATTTTAAACCCGTGTGTTGGGGGGAGTCATACCATGGGGGAGGAGGGGGGCGGGGGGTGCAGAACGCGCAGCACACAACCATATATGGTTGTATGGATGTCCGCTCAAAACGTTGGTATAGCACAAAGCTGATCGTAAAGAGTAGCTTCTTGCCTGTCAGAACAGGAAGCCCCAAACCTTAATTCATATCCCAAGGTGCTACCATTGCAGCAACGAGTACGCCCGTGCTGACCGGAGCGTGTTACAGTGCACGAAGTGCGTGACATCACGAGTTGAAGTGGGATGCTCAGAACCCAGGTCTCAGGGTTCTTGGCTGTAGATTTTGTGATTTGCAGTGTGTTCGTAGTCAGCGGAAGGAAGATTGTGGCTGCAAACTTATCTATCTGCAGGCTTTGGGTGGCTATACGCTTTCCAGTTCATCCAATAGGTTGCAGTCGAACTCGTGCCGAAACATCATTCAGGCGAGGGTGTTGGAGTCCACCTGTCACCGCAACAGACACAGGAGGTCTTTTGCATTGGGAAACGTTTTGCAACATGAGCAAATCCGCAAGTTCGAGCATGATTCAGGCACGATTCTCACAGCAAGCAAGGGACCCAATCCACAGGTGTCGTTGCACATCTTGTTCTACGCAGTGACGGACGCGTCACTTTTCGCCTGCGCAGCTCTAAGCGTGCTCAATGTGCCGAGTCCTTCATTGGAAGGGTTGCATTTTTGACATGAGCATGGGCGGATTCGTGCGTTGCCTAAGTTGGGTTACTGCAGGTACTTTGGAGTTGAACTTACTGCACAGGCATTGTTCAAATTGCAACAGTTTCCGGAAAAGATGTCTCACTCAGGTTGGTACCAAAACGACCCACAGCGGCGTCATGCTCAACCAGCTTATGGCCTTTACGGCAGTCTCAGGCAGCATCATGCGTCTCAGTGGACATTCAAAGATAGGTCTCGTTTCACAGGCCTACCGGTGAGTGCGTGCAGGGGGTAGGAGGTTGGCTCATGATATAGGATAGGAGTCCTAGCCTAGGCTTCCGTGAGTGCACATAGTTCTGGGATACTTTGAACGTTTCTGGGTGTGGGGAGGGAGGGATAGGGTGACTGTCCATGGTTTCTGAATGCCAGAAGCCACTGAAGGTCGGCCATGATGCAGAGCCAATCCTTCGGCCAGA